GAGGAGGAGGAGGGACCTGGGCCTGTTGGTCATTCGAAGGAAGTTCAAAGGTCTTGCTCTCCCCCTCGAAGCCCCAGGAGGTCGATCCTTCAGCTACTGCCTGACTGCTGAGACGCAGCGCCCGGTCGATCTGATTGTCTAGCAGGCTATCTGACACCTTGCTGTTCCTAATGGTCATCCTCTGCTTTGCTAGAGCTTTCTGGTGCAGCCAGAACCCATCCTGACGGAGGTATGCAGCGATGTGGAGGAGCGTCTGAGGAGGCGGAGATTTAGGAGCAGAGGTGGAATTTGATGGAGGAAAGGAGAGGGGGAAAGGTGTGAAGAAAGGGACGGGAGGAGAGGAAGAGGAAGAAGGAGGAAAGAAGAAGGAGAGGAGGAGGAGGAGGAGGACGAGGAGGAGGAGGAGGAGAGAAACAAGATGTATCTGACTTTGTGCTGGTCTTGATCGTTGACAACGAGGTGCTGCTGTTTCATCTCGAAGATTTCTCTCTTGATGATTCCCCAATGCACGTCCTACTCGCCAGTCACACAGACAGCACAACAACTTCCTCCTTCCTGCCTGCTCGTCGAGAACTTTCGACTTGTTACAGCGCTGCTGTATCGTGCGATGGAGAGAGTTGACATGGTCGTCCACCACCTTGTCTGACGCATGCGCGTCAGCGATCCGGCAACAGCGGAGCATCGCAGGGGCAGACCGAGATTAGAGTAGGAGGAGATGTTGGGAGGCAGGTTGTCTTTGGATCTTTCAGAGGATAGGAAGACGGTCTGGACGGCAGCGGAAGGGACACGAGATGTGAAGAGGTCCATGCAACTGCGGGCCTTGTCCATGGCGATCGTGTTCACGATTTCAACCTCCTCGAGCAAGACTATGCGCGACTCTGCGATCTCTGACAGCCCGGCCATGACCTGGTGGATCAAATACGTGAGGAGGAAGGGAGAAAGGGAGGACAAATTTAGAGAGTGAGGAAAGACGAAGGCGGCAGGGAGAGAGGAGGCAGCAGAAGCAAGTAACCTCCATGACAGGGCCAAAGTAGATCAATTCTTCTTCAACGTCCTCAAACTTCAACGACTGTCGCTCCATGTCTGCCATAGCGTTCAACTCGACATCCCGATCTCCTCCCCTCGGCTCACAATCGAGCACAAACTTCTTCACTTCTCTCAGCCTCTTCCTCCCGTTTGGGGCGAACCTGCTCGCTTTCAGCTGGAGAAGAGCAGGGAAGCTCGACCCTACCGGTATGCAGGCACCTTCGACGAGGTGTCGGCCTTGAAACAAGTTTGAAGGAGCTGAAGACAGAGAGTGAGGAGTCCGGTGAGGAGCGGCAAGAACAAGAACAGCAGTGGCAGCAGAAGCAGCAAGGATGTGGAGGGTATCGCGGACTGGGAGGAGATGGAGGAACAAACGGAGCAGGAGGAAGATGGAGGAGGAGGAGGAGGAGGAGGAGGAGGAGTCTCACGTTCGCCAGCTCGTCGCTCATCGTCTCTCCCTGCGCTCGCAAGGATGTGACCATGGAGTCGAACCTGCTGAGTTTCATGAAGGAGGGGATGTGCTGCTCGTGGATCAGATCGGCAGAGGTGAAGCACAAGCACAGAGTGTGCAAGCTGAGGCCCCTCATGCTGATTGCTAGCCTGAAAGGAGAGGGATGTCAACGCAGGCGAAGGAGGAGGGAGAGAGAAGAAGAAGGAGATACAACAGCTGAGAATATGAGTATGAAATCGATAGCGGAAGGAAGACATGAGGGAGAGCAGAGGAAGGGTACGGGAGGAGATAACCGGGGGGAGCAGAAGCGGGAGAAGGAGGAGGAGGAGGAGGAGAAGGAGCAGCAGCAGCAGCAGCAGCAGCAGCAGCAGAAGCAGAAGCAGCAGCAGCAGCAGCAGCAGCAGCAGCAGCAGGAGACCTGATACAATCTTCAGGGCCGAGGTAGTGGACAAGGCGGGAGGTACGATGCAGACACCTCCTGGGAGGCCTCCCGTTGGACAAGCTCGTGTCGTTTCTGAGCACCACGAACTCTACGATGACATTCACCTCCTTCCCGTCCTCGCTGTTTCCCATCTGTAAATTGAGATCCTTGGACAAGAGCTGGATGATGTCGTCGATGTTTGCGATGGAGGGCTCGAAGACCACAAGCAAGGACAGGGAGTTCTGCATGCCCGGGGGGAGGACAACACTGTCCTTCTGCTCATGGAATTCTGCCATGATCGCCGCAAAGCTCTCCATGCTCACCATCCTGGTCTCATCGATGTGCCTACCTGCGATCCTACAGATGTCGAGGGTTTCATGGTGGCCGTATCCGTTCATGTAGAGGGAGTCCTTGAGAGCGTCCAGGTGGCACCGGTTGCCGTCCTCCACCCTCTGGAACCTCGTGAAGATGGCGAAGAGGTCGGCGCTCAGCCCTCCAGGGCAGCTGGACTCCAGCTCGAACACTGCTGACTTGGAGATGGAAACTCTCCTTCCTTCCGTTCGCTCGGCCGGGGCGGGGGGAGGAGCCTGCACGAGGACGTGTCGTCGTTCTATCGCGTCTCCCACCTCTACCATCATCGCATGGATGAAGTGAACGAATTTCAAGAAGCTGACGCTGGAGGTCTGCGGCAAGCACACGCCCGATCGCTGCATCTCGTTCTCAGCTTGCAGGAGGAATTTCCTCATCTGCCATGGCGCGATTGAGCCGTTCGGCTCGTCAGCGTCTCCCTCCAGCCATTTCAATCCCTGCAGGAGGCCAGCCAGCAGGGTCTGGTCGATACCCTCTTGGATCTGATGGTAATCTATCTCAAAGGTTGCCCTGTCGCTTACCAGCTCTGTGAGGTCTGATCCCTTGAGATTGAAGAGGCTCCACAGCATCCTCAACAGACTCGCTCCCCCGCTGCTGAGCTTCTTGCTCTTCCAAACTTGTCCGTTCGTCTTGAAACTCTCGGTGAGCCAACGTCTGGACTCATCGCTGTACTTCCTAGCATGCTCTACCAGCAGACAGATCGCTTCCTCCGATAAGCACTCTCCCACCTTCCAGCCCTGAACCTCCTCCGGCTCTCTCGCCGTCACCCTTCCCAGCTTGACCTTCTGAGATCCGGATGCTCTGGGAGGAAGCTCAGTGAAAGATCTGCTAGTTTCTGCTGTTTTCTTCTTGAGGAGAGGACTCGAGCTCCAGGGGAAATTAAAGTCCACTGAATGACTGCGAATGCCTTGGGATAACTTGCCCGAATCAAGGCGGATAGGAGGGAGCCTCGTCAAGCGAAAGCTCTGGGAAGGTGTAGCGCTCTCTTTGTCATACAGCTGATCACGAAAGAATGGACGATTCAATCCCTCCATATCTTGGTTGATTTTTCTTTCCATGCGCGGAATTTGTTGGAATCGGATCGTGAATCCAATGTTCGTTGCTGTGCTCTTAACCAGCAAAGCAGCAAGATCTGTTTGTTCTCTCCCTTTTTCTTTCATTTCTCTTGATGCTCCTTGAAGACTTCTAGCGATAGTTGAATTATCATATTTGGCAGAATCTCCCTTTGCTTTTCCGAAAAAGCGCTGCTTAGCAAACTTCGGGTCATACGGGAGCATGTTGAGAGGCCCAGCTCCTGTGATCATGGTGGATTCTTACCAAACAAGATGATCTCAACGAGGGAGCAAACTCGCCAACCTCCGTCTGCCAGATAACAGTGTGGAAACTTCCCTCTCAGCAGGACCTTCTGCTGCCCAGCATTCAGTTGCTATCGCCGACTTCCATTGAAGAAGACTTGAGCCCATAGGTCCATCGCTGCAGCTCCGCCTTCATCGTGATGCCTCCGTCCTCATCCTTCACTTGCTCCACCATTTTATCTCCCCCCTTGCTCTGCCATCCGGCATGATCGCCGCTGGGACTGTTGCCATGGCCCTCATGGCAGTTGAACCCAGAGCCAAGTAGTCACTGAAATGATGAAACATCATCATTGTGATTTGAAATTATCGCTCTTCAAAATGAATAGTTTTGAGGTACACTCAAACTCTCAGTCAAAAAGCCCTCCGATCCGACTCGGGCCGAATCACTGCAAACCAACGGGCTGGCGGCCGCAGTCACCTCAGTGCCAGGCCGCCGCGCGTGACTGGCTCGCCCGGGCCAGGAGATGTCGATCGGGCCTGACGGCCATATCATAGTATGGAGTAGCATATCCTGGCATCGTGCCCTGGCCGCGGGTCACTGTGAGTCAACGTGGTGACGGACCGCGCGGCCGGGGCGGCCACGCAGCGGCGCAGAACCGGGGGCCGGCGGAGCCGGCGCTCAGCCGCTGCGGACAAGCTAGCCTGAGCGCCGGACGGAAGTTAGTGTCCTGGCCCGTACAAAAGGGTGGAAGTAAAGGTGTACCGTACGGTCGGACCGCAATGTACTAGTACAGCGCCCGCGAAAAGCCGGGGGTTGAAGTGTAAACGGCAAACAACGAATCACTGCGCGGACTTAGCACTATGATAACTGTTACCACAATTGTGATTCAATGATTAGAGCAGCTCACTCCGTGTCAGCGTGTGATTCCCCGCCATTCAAGTTTCTAGAAGCAAGTTCTGATAACCACAAGTCGTGCCCTCAAACGGCCCACGGTTCACACTCAGGCTCGGAGCGTCAGTACGGGTCTCCCACAAAGACTTTCCAACCGAGCAATTTACAAATAATCATAAACCACATACTCCCCTATCATGGCGACTTCATTTGGTCTACATCTACGCAGGTCATTCCACTTCGTTTGCAGCGGCTGCATGGCCGCACGTCCTCGCATTTCACCTTCGAGCTCCGGCATACCTCGCACGCTTGCTTCACTTGAGATCGACGTCGCTTGCTCTCCATGGCCCTCACGGTATCAGATGGTAAGTTGAGTGCATAGCTCGACAACGGACATGATAGTCCGTTGTGCCGGCACCGGCTGCAGGGTTTCGCCTCGTCGCATCGCACCTTACTTAGTCTGCAGTGGTCGCATGCTGACTTGGCCCGTAGCTGCATCGCTGCTTCTGGTTGATACCAAACTTGCGGTAAACACCCGTAGCTCCCTCCTAGTGCTATCGCTGGCTCCCCCGGAACGAACAGCGGGAAGCTTCTCGGCAGCATCGGCGCTTTCATCGGCAGCATCGGCGCCTTCATCTTAGTACACGTGGGCCCTAGCCCGGAGTTGATGCACCTCGAGCAAGGCACCTGGTCGGTGCACCTGACCTTCTGGTCCTTGCATCGCCTGCATGCTACTGAGATCTTGCTAATGGGTCTGCTGCGTTTGCCTGCAAGGGCAGGCAGGGGCGACTTGTTGGAGAAGCTTGCGGAATTGTCGGGGAAAGCGGAGTCATTAAGAAAGTCGAGGCTCTCGAGCTCAGGAGCAGGGTCATCTGAAGCTGAGAGGGCGCGGGCATCAAGGGGGATGAAGATCGGCTCAAGTTCAGGTGGCGCAGGAGGGAACTGCGATGAGGAGTCGAGGGAAGCATAAACCTCTTCCTCCCACTCCATGGCGGTGAATATTGTCCCTGGTGGGGTATCGGAGTGGGGGGTACGATCGGGGTTGGGGTAGTCATATCCCGGACACTACCCCCTTTATATCTCTCAGTTACTGTGGAAATAATAGGGGTGGGTACTGGTACCATTCATGTTCCCGGGTTCGGGTGGTCAACCTTTTTTTGACCTCAAACTCTCTGGGAACTCGGAATAAAAAAAATCTGTGTGTAAAATAAAAAAACAAATTTGTTTTTCTTTGGTGGGGAGCTTGAACAGTGGAAGAGGGCGGGTATGGCGCAGTAGGTGATGACTCAGGCAGAGGTCGCTGGGGCTCTGCTGGTAGTTGGCGGGGTCTCAGTGGCATGCTGGATGAGAAACAAGAAGACAAGGTCTCCCATGCTCTCGTGGACACTCTCCTCTCGTCCCTTCCTCCTTTACTTCCCCTTCGCATGGTTCTTTCCACGTCTTGCTCGTTGAGCCATTTCCAAGGATCTTACATCAATCTGCAGAAACACCATCTTGAATGCACCCATACCTCGTCAGCTAGATCAGTGCAAGAATTTTTTCAAGGGCTCTTCGGGAAGCGAAGTGAAGGTTCACGATGATGCGCTGGTCAATTGCGAATCCAATGACAAGAGGGTTGACGATGTAGGTTTTGATCTTGGGCAATGGATGTGCAGGTGCAGAGAATCAATGCTTTGGTCTACTGGTAATTGTTTCTGCTGTGATTCGATGAAATGTGATGGACATTAATTGCGAAAATGTTGTCAGCGCCATCTCCAGATCCTCTCGGAGAAGCGCAACACTCGTTTTCGACCTATCTTTGTGCGTGTGGTACCAAGATATCCGCTTGCCCTCCTTCCCAACTCTGTTCAAGTTCAGTTGCGGACATGGATGGTGTGATGTCCTCCCTTGGTGCGAGATGAACGCTGAATCCTTCTTTGCAGCCCCAGGCTCTGTTTGCAACACATTTCGACGCGTTGCAGAAGGAGAGAGTGAATTTGCTGTCAGGGCCATTCTCAGGTCTCGTGATTGCTTCTGGCCGAACGACGGTGTTGTCCAGTCTGTACTTGCGCGAAACGTCTGTGAGAAGAAAAACGTGACACTGTAGCGGCTGTGACGATGAATGCAGGGAAACTCAGCCTGCTCGATTCAGATTCAACAACCGCATTGTTCAACTCATTTGTTTGATGCAGTTGTGTCTCCTATTCATGATGTAAGGTAGTAAGGTGCCAAGGTATGAACGACGCTTCATTACACTGGCAGATCATACAAGCAGGATATGAAACAAAACCTTTGGAAGCTCCGGGACAACCAGCTCTTCACGATCGGATCGTTGCATGACGTTGAGCCAGTCCGTGACGAGGACAGGAAATCTTCTTCCCGTCATCTTTGCCAGCTGCTGCCCCACTTGCAGCAGCAGACGGGGCCTCCAGGTATCTGACTTCCAGCTGACAAGTTGGTACTCAGCCTCGTCCGTTACAGACCTGCTGGTATCAATTCTGATCGGGTCTCCTACCTCCAAATGCCCCTGGACCTTTCAAGATCTGACCGGCGAACTGCAAAATGTCGTGCAGCAGCTGCTCACGAGCACGAAGAAGACGGCCTTCTTTGTCACCCTGTCAAGAAGGACGAGCTGGAAACTAGCTCAGGTCCTCCTCGGATATGTTTGACAGCACCTTGTCAAGGGTGTGTTGCAGGAGATCGAAGAATGGCTTGAAAGGAAGGTCCCGTATCATCAGCGATACTTGTTCTCTCCCGCAAAGCATGATGGCAGACCGAACCCCTACACGCACATGCTCCATGGATCCCAAGTAAACGAAAATAGGGTTCCTTCTCGTATAACGTCTCTCTCCAGATCATTGTGATCACCGCAGATTCAGTGAGCATGGCGTCAGAAGCAAGCAGCACCGGGAAGCAAGTGATCATCGCATGCAGAGGGAGGGTCAGAGGGAAGTTCGTCAAGTTCTTCGAAGTCCTGGAGGAGGTGATGATTCTTCGGTAAGGCTGGTGGTCGTTGCCTGACGGGAAACAGATCTGCGGAGCCTTGCCAGCCGAAAAGTTTGAGGAGGAAAATCTGAATAAGTGGGAAACATCCAGAGACGAAAACATCCTCGACGACACCAGGAAAGTCGCGCAAGAGTTATTAGATCAATTGCCATTGCTTCAAAATCGATGATTGAAATGAATTCGTGGAAAAATGCTGAGCTGGTCAACACATGCTTTCAATCGATGTCATCTATGTAGCGAATGCGAAACACATGACTGTCGTCGGTGAAGTCGTTTTCGATCTCCTCAGATTCTTTGAGGCTGATCCAATGTTCTGCCTCCTGTAGGAGCTCCTCTTGCAAGGCTGGCCAACGGCCATCTACTCCCCTTCTGACAAGCTCAATCCTCTTGCTCTGCCTCAACCGGTTCACCATCGCGTTTGTGCTGATGTCACTCGCTGAGTCATTCTTCTTCACTTTGTACATGATGAGCATCTCAAGCTCGTCCTTGGCTGCATTCACAGCAGCCTTCATCATCTAGGACAACATCGTAAGGCGATCAGCAAGGAGGAATGGAAGAGGAATGGAAGAGGAAAGCAAGCAAGACGTACCTCCTGATCAAAGTCCTGGAATACAGCCTCCTTGACCTTCACCTTGTATTTTTCTAGAACTCTTCTTGATTCCTCTTCTATCATCTCCGATAAGTCCAGAGACATCAGGCTGTCCGAACCTAAATTCGCAATGTTGTTCAAGGCGAGTTCACTGGACGAGCTGCCGCTGCCTTCAGAGCCATCATCTGACGTGCCTGATTGAGCAGGTGAATTTGCCTTGAAATCTCTCTCGCGATCATGGGAGACTGCTTCAATCCCATCATGCATCATGCGCGAACTATCCTGCGCCGCCTCCTCCTCCTTCTCCTCCTCCTTCTCCTCCTCCTGTTCATGCTCCTGCTCAACTTCATCCTCCACCTCATTTTCTGATTCCGAGTAGACGACATGATCAAAGTTTGGTGTCATTGGCAGCTTGGGAGGACGAATTGTGAGAATCTTGACGTCATGTCGTTGAGCTCTACGGGCGACATCTTCCTGCACAAACATGTCGAATTGCAGATTGGACATCTTCATCTTCATCACTCCTGTGTCCTCTTGTTCGAGGAATCTTTGATACTCGGCGTTGCTTTCCGGATCGAAAGAGGACGTGCCCCGACGACTTGCACCATTATCCGACCTCTCGGGCTTTCTCGGGCCATGATCCGGTATCAACAGCAACACTACAGTGTCCAACGTGTCAACTCTGCAGAGTGGCGAGGTAAGGGCCTCGGTGCTAAGATCTTCAAAGGTCGGCGATGACGAGCTGATCGATTCGAGGGGGTCTGACATGCTGCTGCGTTACCTCTGCTTACCTCTCCCTCCTCTTGTCGCGCTCCAGCATGGAGTCAAGAGGAAATTCATCAAGGAAAAAACGGTGCCCATTGCCATCTGTGAATCTGGATTCCTGTTCCAACTTCTCTTCCTTCGCTATTCCATCGCCATGCTCATGGCTCAGCCACCTCTTTAGGTACATGACCCGATAGCTTGTCTGCCTCGGTGACTCTTAAGCTCTCTTGCTCCCCCTGCTCGCGGATTCTCCTACAGTCATTGTTCTTCAGACAAGGAAGCCTGCAGCTTGGCGGTTACTGACGTCCTCTCGTGATCTTCACCTCCCTCACTTTCTCTCACACTCTCACATAGATTCTCTCCCTCTCCCTCCCTCCCTCCCTCCCTCTCTTCTTCAATCCTCTTCCCCTTGGTCGCTAGTTTGAAATGTCATTTGATCGACATTCTGACAACATACAGCTTTGTAACTACCCCACCCCTCTGTTTAACTCCTGGAGCCTCCTTGTGAAGTTGAATAAAATGAGAAGGTGGGTGTAGGGGAACATAACGAAAAAGAAACGGTTATAACGTTACCGTTACAGCGAAGGCCTGGCAGGACGGATCGCGATGCAGTTGCTGCTGTGGGTTGTGTTGGTAGCGAGCTGCGTGGACGAGAGGACAGCGACGAGGCCGCAAGCGAGGTCATCATGGTGAGAGATATGATGAGCATGCTTGAAAGGCTTGCTATGGTCTCCTCCCTCAACTCCATCCTCAACCATGCTATCAGATTGCTTCCATTCCAGATTTGCATCTTTTGGCTCTGTTCTCACGAATTTTCCAGGATCCCTACCAGGAGTTCATGCCAACGTTGCTCGCAGCTTTCAAGGAAGTATGTTATTGAGTTGAGGGGAGGGCAGAGCGACATCTCCGACCATAACTTCATCTCGGATCGATATCCGAACGTAAATCCCGACACCATCATCCCAGAGTTGGGGAACATCTCCTTGAGACAATATGAGGTGATTTCAACTCGATTCCTCCTGATTCAATGTGGGGGCCTCAAGTGACGTTGGTTCCTGCAGCAAAAACTCGCAGCAGAGGCTGCCGAGGATTTGGAGGATTTGTCTTGGATGGATGACGCTCGAAATTTCGAAGATCTGCGTGTGTCGGACGATGAAGACATGGAGTGGCGATGGCCCTTGTACACTCAGACTAACAACGTCAGCCTCGATAACCTCCCGTCTTACAAGTGTGTCATGATTTTGTGACGCATTTTAGAGAGATGATGATCGTTGGTTTCTGTAGGAAAGACATGATCACAAGGGAGTTGGATCTTCTGGACCCCACATTTCCAGACATCTACACCAAATATGAGAAAGTGACTGGCAGATGAGATGGTCTTGTCTTGGAGCTGATGCATGTATCTGTTAAGGTGTTTGTCAACGAGGTCAACGAGTCTCATATCCCGGAATCATTCAAGGTTTCTCACGTTCATCAGTAACTTGCTGTTGTTCTAAGAAATGTTTCTCAGGATGAAATATGCGACGTGGATTTCGAGGCCGGGATTTCGGATATGTTGAGAAAGGAGGGCATGAAAAAAGAGGGAGAAGGTTCGTCCAGAATCGTTGAATTGCTGTGATCGTTGAGGTGAATCCGTAGGTGTTGGTATGAACGTGAAATATAATGTCGAATTTCGCGCAGCTGTGATCAAAGGAACATGCTTGCTTGTTTGTAAACAGATTTGTTTGTTGTGACACAACTCGACAGAGGTCACTCCTGTCCTTCCTGCCTGGCGAGCTGGAATAAACGCTGGAGACGTGCTGGTCAAGATTGGGGTACTACGGTCTAGTTGGTTTGACATGAAAAATGATCCCTTATCCTTCAGAATACAACCATAGATGAGATTGCTGACATTGCAATGGAAAAGTACAGGTTATTCTTGATGAAGAAGCCAACTGCTGGTCGATGATCATTTTGGTAGAAACTACTTGCAGGCTTTCATAACCAAGGGTACCGAAATCAAGGTGAGAAGCGAACATGGTAGAGGATTACGTTGAGATGTGATGTGAACTAGTTGGAGATGGACGCGATCAAGCGGCTGAACAAAGGAGCTGAACTCTGGTCATACAACGTGAATGATACGAAGCTGTTGGTGGAGAGGGAGATACAAGAGCGACTGACGGGCCCGAGGGGTGAAGGGGTGAACGTGACGGTGAAGCGATCACTCAGACACATCCAACGACACGTTGACGGCAGATTGTGGAGACACAAGCTGTGAGTGATGGGTTCTTACATGTTTGTGGTCATGGCAACATCTGCGAGCACAAGGATGATGGTGATGAGGGTCAGAGTGAAGAATGGTGGATGGTGGTAATGGCATTGATGAAGATTAGAACTGACTTGATCACGATATGACTGTGATTTCTGAGATTATTTATAACGGATTTGATCTATGGGTGAATGTCGTTGAATGCAGATGATGCAGAGTGAAAATGTAACGTAACAATCTCTGCAGGTATAATGGCAAACCTGTCTTTCGGACGTTTCATATCAAGTTTTCCGATGATTTGGCCCTTCCTCCGAACTGGGTACAGATGAACATTGCAATTACTATCAGCTGACTTGTGTCTAAGGGATATGAAGTTGTAGAGGCGTGGGTGAGCAAGCGAACGCATCACTTGAAGTGTCAACTCAATGTAAACTCTGCTGAGTTGCTCAACGTGTAAAGACCTTTGTTTTGATACACCATGGCGTGCAGGAGCTTCTTGAGGCTGGAGTGATAACGCAAGAACAATTCGAGTCTGTGTTCCTCGTCACACCTGTTTATCCGCTAACTCTTCTTCTCTCTCGTCCTCAATGCTCCTGCTCCTCTCCCTGAATCTTCGCTATCCACTGGTAGGATTGAGATGAAGAAGCTTCCCTTGCCCTTGTCAGAGGAGTACCAGCAGGACACATGCTTCAAACAGGTTGATGATGCTGATGAAGATGGCACGATTATTCTGATTTGAATCGTCTGCTCCAGCTGTACATCATGTATAAGAACAACATCTCCGGTTATTGCACTTTCAATCATTTCGAATGGAATTCCAACGACGAGATGGATGGGTACAAAGATGTTGTTGAAGCTTGTTCGCTCATTGTCTTCCTTTTCGCCCTGCAGGCTAAAGACGGACACTTACACGCTCTCTTTTGCTAAGTTGGAAATTCCTCATTCCTTTCCTCCCTCCTA